AGATCTGCCCTCACAGAGGAGGGAGAGCTTGTACCTGAAGGCGGGCTGGGGGGGGGCTCTGCAACTTACGTGGCTACTTCTTGCTCCTCGTGGCCCAACTAAAGGCTACTGGGAGCAGAGGGCGGGGCTTGTTGCATGTACCCGCCCCCTGGGCTCCTTACTGCTGAAGCTCCGCTCCTGTGCGCTTCCGCAGGAAATGACCCCTGATTGTAACTAATATGAATATGGAAGAAGAACTTAGGAAACTGAATTGAATTACGTGTAGCAGGTGTTACAAGATAATAGGAGTCAGAATAGGAAGTAATTCTTGTATAGTAATTAGGTATAATAGGAGTCAGAGGATGACCTGGAGAACACTTTCTAATAATAAAAGGTATAATAGATTGTTTGAAAATAGGATTACTATTTTGTATTATTGTTCACTATAGAAATTAATAAACTGTGAATGGGGGGGGGAGTTATCTACCAGGAATAGAGGATTTAAATACCATAATATTAATGCCATATTTGCAAAATTTGGAAAAAACTGACTATAGGAGATAGGGCTGCCAAGTAGGGGCGGGTGTCGGGGAAACCCCCGCTTTGGAGGCCCGATTTCTGCCGCCGCGGAATCGGGCCCCGGGGGGACTCCGCCCCCCGAAGTGCAGCGTGGCTGCGTCACCAGAGGTGACGCAACCACATCAGTCACGGTGGGGGCGTGGCCCCGATCGTCAGAGGGAAAACTCTATGGTTTTCCCTCCGATGATCGGGGCCACGCCCTCAACATGATCGATGTCACATGTGACGAGGGACGGCTCCCGGAGCGCGGCGAAGCTCCCCCACCGGTGAGTAAAATTCACTTGGCAGCCCTAATAAGAGAGCATTAGAATGGATGTGTTACCATCAACAATTAGGGAGGGTAGGTTTAAAAGACAGCCATATGAGGAAAGATTGTGCATCTGTAGGGATGGGAAGCCAGAATAGAGGGAACACGCTTTATTTAACTGTAAACTTTACCAAAATATTAGAGCCGCCAATATAACATTGATTTATAATTATTTCCCGGGGAGGAATATCAGATTTTACTTAGACAACCTCTTCGCTGATAAGAGACCAAACGATTACCCTAAATGTGGCAAAATTTGCTAGACAAGCTATAAGCCTCCGGAAGCAATTTGTAGAGGGAAGCATCTAATTGGCCTGTCGCTAGAACTCAGCCCCGATTTTTATTTTATATGTCTCAGTCTGAATGTATATTTGACTCACGTTGGGTAGTGTTGATTGGTCTCTGACAGTATTAAACTCTTGTTGTTGTTGTTGTACCTCAGGTCCAGGTGCCTGGCGCTGCCTTATTGCAACATGAAAAGTCTCCTCCTGTCGGGGACATGCCTAGACCATCCCACGCAAGATGCCTAGAACCTGCTCTCCAGAATGGTCGTCTTCCCCAAATGCCTGTTCCTCCAAATAGGATTTTCTCTGCTCCAGCTAAACCTAATCAACCTGAAGCTCAGCAACAGAACGGCTGTCGTGCAGGACCCGTTCCGGCATTCCAGCCCTTTTTCTTCACCGGGGCACTCCCCTACAGCAGTACGCAAGAACTGGTGCTGAAGGTTAGGATTCAGAACCGCGCTCTCAAAGAGAATGACTTCATCGAGATCGAACTGGACCGGCGAGAACTGACTTACGACGAACTGCTCCGAGTGAGCTGTTGTGAACTGGGGGTGGATCCGGAGCACGTGGAGAAAATCCGGAAGCTTCCCAACACAGTGTTAAGGAAGGACAAAGACGTTGCGAGACTGCAGGACTTCCAAGAACTGGAGCTGGTTCTGATGATGGGCGACGACGACTTTCTGTTCAGAAACGCGGCACCGACGTGGACTGAGAAGCCTTGTTATAATAGGAAAGCATCAAGGCTGACGTACTAACTGTTTAAATGACATACCTTAGTAGTAGTTAACTGTTAAACTTAGGATTTCGTAAGGGCTAATTCTACTTTACCTGGGAAGGCAGAGTGAACCTATGAAGCACACTTCCTTAGAAGCAGGATGAAAACACCAGGCTTCAATGTGCTTTGAGGATCTGCAAAATGCATCTGCAGGTAAATTTTTGTGCAAAACAATACTGAAATAACGGATGGTACGCGAAGGACTGATAAAGGGCCGTCTCTCCACACATCAGGATTTCTTGCAAGGGAATTACCCTTTCCTGGAACACGGTGGAGTTAAGAAGCTCTCAGGGAAAAGACTTGAATCAAACTGTTCTAATAACTGCTACTCATTAAAAATAGCAGGAGCACTTATACCGAAGGGCAGGACATGAACTCCATTTAATGGTCGTAACTGGATACTGAACTAGCAGACATGCCTCTTATACCTAGCTAGAGTTCACACGTGCTGCTTGAACAAAGAATAAGCTGCATTTCTGGGGAGAAGGAGGAGAAAGGAGAAATCAGGGTTCTTAGCCAACGGGTATGTTGGTATAATGAATCAAGGGCTGTGGTCACCGTATTCCTTTCCGCATTTGCCTGCCAGTCCGGAGTTTCTCAGTGTTTGAGTCGAGGCAATTTAAGCCCACAGATAAACAGTATCCAAATAACCTGGGGCAACAGCAGGCTGATACCGGGCTAACATTAAAAACCTAGTTGAAACTTATAATATACAAAAATACAGGGCTATTTTTGGACAGGAACGCACAGGAACGGAGTTCCAGCTAGCTCCCGAGTTGGCCACGCCCAGCAGGAACTCATTAGCATAATAGGCCACACCCAACAGCAGAAACGTATTAGGATTGGCTACGGTAGGGGTGTGTGGCCTAACATGCAAAGGAGTTCCTGTTACAAAAAAAGGCCCTGGGTTTTGACAACAAACAAGGTAAACAGAATAAGAAGCAAAAGGTGGGTGTGGCTGGATGACCACACTTCTGGTAACATGAGGGTGTGGCCTAGTATGCTAATGAGCTGTGTCATCAGGGGTGCTAATGAGTTCCTGCTGGGCTTTTTCTACAAAAAGAGCCCTGCAAAAATACATGTATTTATTAGAAAAGGAGAAGGCCTCACAGACATCTTTGTCTTCTGTCTTTAGATATTGCTGCTCTACCTTCCTTTTCTTGGTCCAATATTCACTGATTGGTTATCTTATTTTAATATGTATTAAAGTTACGTGTACCTCAATATTGTTGGACCTCTGAAGGGGGCCCCCAATAGGGCAGAAACGCGTCGGGTCATGTGTCTTTGCCCTTGTTTTGAGGCCACTTGAACTTTTTAACGAGGCTCTCATTGGGCCCTTATAGGTTTTTAAACTGTCTTTCTACTAAATACATGTGTTTTCGTATATTATAAGTTTCAACTGGGTTTTTAATATTGGC